CAATGCCTTTGAATTCAAATTTGATTACTTTCAGCTTTTCTCTTGTTTTTTGGATCGATGCATCTTCAGTCAGCACTATCACACAGGCACTGAAGGGTATCTGTAACCTTCCTGAGGCTCAGTCTTCTTCTCTTGATGGGTCACCTGAATCTGCTTTATACTGGATTGGCTTGCTGAGAGAGAACTATGTAATGGTGTTTGACAATGCTGATGTTCTATCACCTGCTGACCTGGAGGCTTACATTCCACCTGGAAGGGGGGGAAATATTCTCATAACTAATCGCAACTCTGCCATGAGAACTCTAACTTCACCTGAGAACTCTCTTGAAGTAACTGAGATGGAAGAGAATGATGCTCTTGAATTACTTCTAAAAGCCAGTTGCTTGGAGTCATCTTTGATAGAGTTTCAATCTGAAGCTTTTAAAATTGTAAAAGAGCTCTTCTGCCTTCCTCTGGCAATTGATCAGGCTGGTGCTTACATTGCTTCTGGAGCAACCACTATTGGAGACTATCTTGCAAAATATTCAGAGCACCGAAAGACACTATTGTCCCATTCAGATTTTACTGGAGCTTCTAAGTATAACAAAACTGTTTATGAAACTTGGGAGTTATCATACAAAGAAATTCAGAGAAGGGCTAAATCTGATGATTCTCATAAGGCCAAAGCAGCCAATAGTGCAATACTGCTTCTGGAATTATTCCCTTTCTTCCATCATGAGGGGATTACTGAAGACATCTTTTTTTATGCTGCCCTTCAAGAAGATAAGACAATTTCGAATATTACTGTCATTCTCATTGATCAAAAAAGGTCCATCTGATTGTGTGTATGCAATGCATCCACTGGTCCATTCTTGGGGCAGGGACAGAATGCTTTCAAACAAGAAGAAACAATGTTGCTTAATGGCATATGTTACCTTGTCTTCTTCACTAAGATGGAATGAAGGCCAGCCATATGGATTTCAGAGGGCCTTGGTAACACATATAACAGCAAACATAGAGTATTCCAGATCAGAAAGTATCAACAATGATGTCACTTACTTAGATGATGCTTATGCCAACTGTAGAAGATTGTTGATGCAACAAGGATATTCAAGAGAAGCTGAAAAGTTGCAGATTAAAGTTCTGGATACAAGGAACAGAATTCTTGGAGTGGAACATCCAGACACAATCAATGCCATGGAAAGTCTAGCAGAAACATATGGAAGGCTGAGAAAATACACAGAGGCAAAGACACTGAGTACCCAAGTTCTGGATGCAAGGAACAGAATTCTTGGAGTGGAACACCCAGATACAATCAATGCCATGGGACATCTTGCAGCAACATATCAATACCTAGGAAAATACACAGAGGCTGTGAAGCTGGAGACCAAAGTTCTGAATGCAAAGAACAGAATTCTTGGAGTCGAACACCCAGAGACAATCAGTGCCATGGCACATCTTGCAGCAACATATCGAAACCTGGAAAAATACACAGGGGCAGAGAAGCTAGAGATCCAAGTTCTGGATGCAAGGACCAGAATTCTTGGAGTGGAACACCCAGATACAATCAATGCCATGGAAAGTCTAGCAGCAACTTATCAAAAGCTGGGAAAGTCCACCCAGGCAGAGAAGCTGCGGATTCAAGTTCTGGATGTGAGAACCAGAATTCTTGGCATGGACCACCCAGGTACAATCAATGCCATGTCATATCTAGCATCAACACATTATAAACTGGGAAAGTACACCGAGGCAGAGAAGCTGCGGATCCAAGTTCTGGATGTGAGAACCAGAATTCTTGGCATGGACCACCCAGGTACAATCAATGCCATGTCATATCTAGCATCAACACATTATAAACTAGGAAAGTACACAGAGGCAGAGAAGCTGGAGATCCAGGTTTTGGATGCAAGGACCAGAATTTTCGGAGTGGAACACCCAGATACAATTAATGCCATGGGACACCTTGCAGTAACATATTATAGACTAGAAAAATACACAGAGGCAGAGAAGCTGGGGATCCAAGTTGTGGATGCAAGCACCAGAATTCTTGGAGTGGAACACCCAGAAACAATCAATGCCATGTTAAATCTAGCATCAACATATTATGGGCAGGGAAAATACACAGAGGCAAAGAAACTGGCCATCGAAGCTCAGAAAATAAAGAATAAAGTTCCTGGAGCAGAATCTCCCCTTATGAATTCTAGAGAAAAAGGTATGAAATGAGCTTCATTTTTTCTTTTTCACTGACACTCATATTTATATGATTAGTGCATTCTCTGACCAATCTTTCCAAGAGGATTTCAAAATTCAAGTCTGGGATGATGCATTCATTTCATAGTAAGAAATATTTCAATGATGGCTTTGCAGAAACTAGTACTTCATTCTTCTTCGCCAATGCTTCCATCCTTCTCACCTATATTCGTTTTCACTGAAATTCTGGCTTCTACTCATATCTTGATATTCTGT